GTTAGGGATGAGGACTTCTGTGGGATTAGTCTGCTCCAGGTTAGTGCTGCCAGGGTAATCCATGCCAGCTGCCTGAAAGAAGTTTTCCCACAGAAACAAAACCAGCTGAGTGAAACAAAGTCGGCTAACTGGGCCGTCCAGCTCTGCCATTCAAACATGGCAGCTGAGGAGCAACACAAGGCCCCTCTCGTTCATGCCCTTGTTTTAGAGGTTGGGGAGCTATCTTTAGATCAGCTAGTCTCATATTTCTCAGGATCACTGGGGAGCTGAAGTCTGGATCACATCCCAAGCCTCTAGAATCAGAATTGCACAGCTTCCTACCCCTTACCGATTCTTTCACAATCCCAAGTTTGAGAGTCTTTCTTTTGGAGAATGTGGTGATGGCATTCTCACTAAGCACAAGAAAGGCATTTCTACCCGCGCAGAGAAGGAGCTGGTTCTCCTGGCATAGGTCTGATGTCAGCATCATTGAGAATTCAGTGAGCTTCTTGTAAAGTTCAGAGAAGGAGAATGTCGGTTCTGTGGCACCTTGCAGGATGGCATGAATTTACATATGGAGAAATGAAAATCTCAGGAGCTGAAGTGACCTTTTTAAGGACATGGGAAAAATCTCAATAGGATTTGAACTTGGAGGATATCTATTTTCAGATGCCTAATCCTGGGCTCTGGAGAAGTAGCCAGATAACTTCAGGCTCAACTCATGTTCCCATGGAGAAAGGTAGAACGTCCCAAGCACCTCTCAACTGTGAAGCTTTCATTAGTTTACTGAGGATGACATGATAGTTCAGTCAAGCAATCTATCTATCACATGCTTCTACATTCCCAGCACTGTGCATGGTTGGGTAGCATGCACGCACATAGCTCTCAGTTCCTGTCTTTAAGATACTTCCAATCTAATTAAGTGAGCAGAGATAAGAAAGATAGCAGAGACCAGCGAAGATAAAGTAAGACAGGTAAGGTAGCTCAGAGAAGCCAGAGAGCAAACCCTACTGGTAGAGATAACCTATGAACCTTCCTGGAAGAAGCAAGTTTTCAGGCAGCCCTTGGCTAGGGTAAGATCGGCCAGGACAAGGACAGAATACAGAAATTCCAGCTGGAAGGAAGGATATAAGTAGAGTATTTTGTTGAGGTTCAGGGGTAGGGCTGTCTTTTCATATATGCAGGGGGGTCAGAAGAAGATTCATTCACTCACTCACTCACTCACTCACTCACTCACTCACTCATTCATTCATCATTTACCCAGTGTGGCAGGCATGACCCAGCATGTACTAGGCTTTGGGAGAGCGCAGTAAACAAGCCAGATGTGGTCTGTGTGCTTAGGGCAGTCCTTGGGTGGATTGCTGGGGTCACCATGCATCAGCTGCCCTGCTCTCCTGGATGCCTGAGGCTCAGCCTTCGTGACCCAGAGACCTTCTGTCCTGCAACAGAAGTTTGAGTGGGTCCCTGACAGCCTCAAAGACACCACGATAATGAGTGTTGCATCACATGGCAGGGATCAGCCTGCTCAGGCAGAGGGTCATGCCACAAAGTGGCAGCAAGTACTGTACTTTGGGGAAGGAGAAAGGAATGGCTATTGATTGCAGACATTTATGTCTGTGAGCCAGAGGTTCTACCTTATTAAATTTTCTCACAGGTCTGAAGTAGGGATCATGTTACCCATATTGTGAGTGGTAGAATTGGGGCCCAGGGAGGGTAACTTGCTGAGGGTTGTGTAGCTATTAAGAGGTGGAGCTGGACTCAGACATGACCAATTCCAAGTCTTCTTTCCACTTTACCCCAATACATAGTTTTTCTGGGAGCCTCCCCAGCCCGGCAGAGGAACCTGGGCACCATTGGGTGCCATTTGGGTTCTACACTGAGGAGTGAAAGAATAAAAATTGAGTTTCAGGGAGAATTCGTTTTGCCAAGATGGATAAGAGTAGGGCTATAGCGCTTGCAGTTAGGCCACTCAGTGCTGCAATGTCCCAGGTGCTGGGTGATGAGGACTACAGAAGAGTGAATGCAGACATTCTCTCAATGTTTTTCTGAAGCTGCAAGTGGACAGCCATCCAGTGTAAATCGCCAGTCACAGACTCTGCAGACTGTGCATACCCATGCCACATTTGCCTTCCTGCTCTAATTTAAATGCCTGCCCTAGGTGAGTGGAATGTGAGTTGTCAAATGCTATTTAATGGAGACTTACTGGGCACCTGTTATGTGCCGGGCTCTGTGCTGAACACTGTGGGTAAATCAGCAAGAAGGCCAGGCAGGTATGCAGGGGTGCTGGGCTCCACCATTCCAGGGGGTGGCCTTCACATTGATGCTGATGTGAATGGTACTTGCTGGAGTTGTTCAGCCTGAGTGGCTGTGTGCAGTGGCTCTGCAGATGTGGCCCCTGCTCTCATAGGGTTTATAGTCTAGTAGAGAAGACAAATACTAAACATTGAATTGAGTTGAAATTGATATTATAGTGTTATTATTGTTGTTTTTGTTAGAAGAAGAAAAAATGAGGAAGGAAAGGGGATTGGAATCTCTCTCGCCTATCCTCCTTAGCCCTTTTTTGGGAAACATCCAGAAACACTTCCTCAGTCATGTCCAGCTGCTGTATTAAAACGGCATAGACTGGGTAGCTTAAACCGGTAGTCCCCAACCTTTCTGGCACCAGGGACTGGTTTCATGGAAGACCATTTTCCCACAGACTGGGGTGGGGGAGGGGATGGTTTTGGGATGATTCAGTGCATTACATTTATTGTGCACCTTATTTCTGTTACTATTACATTGTAATATGTAATGAAATAATTATACAACTCACTATAATGTAGAATCAGTGGGAGCTCTGAGCTTGTTTTCCTGAAACTAGACAGTCTCATCTGTGGGTGATGGGAGACAGTGACAGATCATCAAACATTAGATTCTCATAAGGAGTGGGCAACCTAGATCCCTCACATGTGCAGTTCACAGTAGGGTTTGCGCTCCTATGAGAATCTAATGCTGCCATTGATCTGACAGGAGGCAGAGCTCAGGCAGCAATGCTCACTTATACCCCACAGCTCACCTCCTGCTGTGCCACCCAGTTCCTAACAGGCCATGGACTGGTACTGCTCTGTGGCCCAGGGGTTTGGGACCTCTGGCTTAAACAATAATTATCTGTCAGAGTTCTGGAGGCTGGGAAGTTCAAGATGAGGGTGCTAGCAGGGTCGGATTCCTGGTGAGGGTCCTCCTTATGGCTTGCATACAGCTGCCTTCTTGTGTCCTCTCACGGCAGAGATTGAGAGAGTGAGAGAGCTCGCTCATGTCTCTTCCTTATATGGGCCCTAATCCTATCATGAGGGCTCTGTCCTCATGACCTAATTACCTCCTGGATTGGGCCATTCTTGTATTGCTATAACGAAATACCTGAGATGGGGTAATTTATAAAGAACAGAGGTTTAATTGGTTCATCGTTCTGCAGGCTGTACAGGAAGCACAGTGCTGGCATCAGCTTGGCTTCTGGGGAGCCCTCAGGAAACTTACAATCATGCAGAAGGCAAAGGGGGAGGAGGCAAGTCACATGACAAAAACAGGAGCAAGAGAGAGTGTCGGCGGGGAGACACCACACACTTTTAAATGACCAGATCTTGCAAGAACTCACTCGCTATCACAAAGACAGCACCAAGCCATGAGGGATCTGCCCCATGATCTAAACACCTCCCACCAGGCCCCACCCCCAGCGTTCAGGATTACAGTTCAACATGAGATTTGGGCAGGGGTAAATATTAAATGATACCACCTCCCAAAGGCTCCATCTTCAAACACCATCACATTGAGGGTTAGGGCTTCAACATGTGGATTTTTTTCTGGTAAGGAGGAACGACACAATTCAGGCTGTAACAAACACTAAACTTGGTCTTCTTTCAAGAGATGCATTAGGAACAGGACCACTTCAAGGAAAATAAAAACTTTCCCCCACCTTGCCAGATATTGCCCCCTGTGTGCCAGTTATTCTAAAAGACTAAATGGGAGACAGAGCTTTCCATGAACAGTTTGAGTTAAACATGTTTAAATGCAAATAGCAGGAAGTTAGCATATTGGTGTAGATGAGCTTTCATGTATGTTTGTGGGCGGCTCTGGCAGTGTGAGCAGCTGAGTGAGACAGCAGGAAAACTTGGTGCCCACAGTGAGGAAGAGGCGCCGCTGGGGGAAGGAGAGCCCCCAAATCCTGCCACAGGCCAGGGCTTCTCTTCAGCTCTGCTTATCTCTGCTTCTGTGCACAGATAGTAGTGATGGGCCAAGGTCCTGTTTACACAGCAAAGAGGACTTGGGGCCACACAGGGGGAGTGGAGAGAAAGGACAACTTCCTGATAAATGAAAGAACTCAGTTCCAGATGGGTTGAAGGCAAGGGAAGAGTCAAGGCCAAGTTGCTAGGGAGAGGGAGGGCAGCATAGCCTTGGCCCCCACCCCGGAGGAGGATTGAGACTTGGGTGGGTGGAAACAGGCTTCTGGCAGAAGATGAGAAACTTGCTGTTGGACACACATTTCTGGTATGGCAGGACACCTGTCCTCGGGTCAGAACACAGAACAAGAGAGAGAGTGAAAGGGAGGAGCCTAGGTGTCTGGCTGGACCTGAGAGTGATCTGAGAAATCGGAGCAAGCAGGTGTGGTCTTGAGAGCAGGAGGTTGGAGGAAGAGGAGCAGAGGGTCTTAGAGGGGGTGTGATTGATAGGCTCTGAAAAATCACATTTGGAGGCTGGTTGGCAGTCTTTGGAGAAGTCTCATGTTTCCCATTCTGAGTCTTCTTTGGCTCTCTGGAATCCCTCTCCACAGATAGGCTAAAGGAGGGTTGCTGGAAATCTCATGTGGAAACTCTCAGCTCTCAGAGCTGGGATGGCTTCTCACTTCAGATGCGATCACAGAGGGACCTCCATCCCTCATAAAGACCCCTAGAACTAGGCAACCAGCACTGCTGCAACCAGAATGCTGTCTGGGGGGCCTGGGGAGCCCAGCAATTTGCTCCCCTTGCTTTTCCTATTTCTGATTGCAGCCTTGAGGAGCCTGAAGTCAGTTGTTGATAAGAACATCATTCTACCCTGCCTTGTGCCAGCTTCCTCCAGCTGAAGACATTGATCATCCCTTGGGGATCCAGCCCCCCTCCATTTGGTGCATGCAGGTGATGGCGGGGACTGTCCCATGTGTGATCCAACCCAGGGTACACTGGTCATCACTCCACAGATGAGTCATTTGCTACTAGCCTTTCCTTACTCCATCTGACCCCTTCAACTTTAATGTAAATGTCACTCCTGGGATCCTATCATTGTGGGAATTTTTTTTTTTTTTTTGGTAGAAATACCATGTTGGAAAGGACATTTGTCCTCTACTGTTTAAATTGCTTTCTACGGGTTAGGGAGAACTAGCCATTGATTTTCTTCTAGAGAGCATAGCAAGCCCTGTGAAGATTTTGGCTAGTTAACTTTTGGAGAAGTGCTTCTTGAATTTATCAGGGAGGCTGAAGTCTCTTTTCTCCTCTTATATCTTGAAAAAGGCTTTAAATTTTGGTTCCGAATCTCTGCCAACACCTGGTCTGTTTGAAAGGATTTCCCTGGAGATGATGGTAGAGGGGCTGTTGAATGTCATGTTTTTGCAGCTTCGATCTTTAATACAGTTGTCCCAGTCCACAGAAAGTCTTTCCTGTTTACATAAGAGAAGTATCATTCACACAAAGATTACATTTAGAAATATACATTTTCCCCCAGCATGCTTGTTACTAATAACATTGCATGTTATGAAAGTGGAAAGTATTTAAGATGAAATTAATTTTCGCCCAGCGTGCCACTTTGTTTGACATTCTCGATCCAGTTGGTGTGGAGCACCAATGTTGGCCTACCTCACTTTGCATTTTTAGCAAGTTCAATTTATTGTTCTTCTTGTCTGGATTGACGCTGTTGGAAGTGAGTTACTAGCATATTAGGACAAGTCCAATTTGGAATCCTACTGTGTAGATTTCTTTTGTATTGGTTTCCAGAAGTTTATTTTGAAAATGATCATCTCCAGTAGATGAGTTTTGCTATACAATTTTTCATTTTCATTTTTTGGGGGGCCTGATTTTATGGGTTCTCTTTTCAGCAGAACTTCTGGGGTTGGGATAATTAACATCTTTTTTTTTTTGGCAGTCTGTCAGAAGGTCCTGGGAAAACAGATTGCTGCTCTCACGTTGGACACCTCTCCGTCAAATGTTCTTGTCAGTTCTCATCGATGTGGTGTGGCTGCTTGCTGTTTCATGGGTGGGGGCTGGAGCATCCAGGACACCCTGAACAACCTGGGTCATCTTGTCTGGGCCAAGCTGCCTGTGACAGTTCTGTTCCACTGAGCTACATCGCCATAGCAGAAGGAAGCATTTAAGCTGGTGTGACACAAATACTTTGTAAAAAGTGGTTCTTTATTTTTGATCAATCTTGTGATCCTTGTTACCAGCTTTGATTACATCAGCTTATGTGCCATTCAGTTTTATAGCATTTTAATGGGCTTTCATATCCCCTCCCCAATTCATTTCCAGCCGCGTGACTATTACAATTTGATTGCAGTTTGGTTTTGCAACTGCCAGGACGCTTTCTGAGCATATGATGCCTTCCTTGTGAATGTGAAGATGTTCAGAGGTGAAAAAGGAGCAAAGGGTTTTTTGTTTTGTTGTTTGTTTTTTTTTGGATGCTTGTCAACAAGTAATTTCCAAATGATGCCTCAGAAGCTTCCAGGGTTGTGTTTTCCCAAGTAAGGTATTTGTTTTAAGCTCTTTGTTAGAACCTGACCTGTTGGCTTTTTAAAGAGTGTAGAAAAGTACATTTAAAACTTTGCTTTCTAACAAGTGGTGATGAGAATGTGGGGTAGTTGGGACCCTTGTACACTGTTGGTAGAAATGTAAAATGGTATAGCTACCATGAAAAACAGTATGGTGGTTCCTCAAAAAATGAAAAGTAGAACTACCATAGGACTCAGCAATTCTACTTCTACTCCTGGGTGTATACGTAAGAGAATTGAAAGCAGTTTTTTTTTTTTTTTAAAGACAGAGTCTCACCCGTTGCCCAGGCTGGAGTGCAGTGGCACAATCCCAACTCACTGCAACCTCTTCTGAGTTCAAGAGATTCTCCTGCCTCAGCCTCTTGAGTAGCTGGGATTATAGGCATCCGCCACCACGCCTGGCTAATTTTTGTATTTTTAGTAGAGACGGAGTGTCGCCATATTGGCCAGGCTGGTCTCGAACTCCTGACCTCAGGCGATCCACCTGCCTGACATCCCAAAGTGCTGGGATTACAGGCATGAGCCACCGTGCCCAGCCTGAAATCAGGGTTTTGAAAAGATATTTGTACACTCATGTTCATAGAAGCAATATTCATAATAGCTAAAATGTGGACGCACCCAGATGTCTATTGACAGATGAATGGATAAGCAAAATGTGGTGTATGCATACAGTGGAATATTATTCTGACTTAAAAAGGAAGGAAATTCTGACATATGCTGTAACATAAGTTAACCTTGAGGATATTATGCTAAGTCAAAGAAGCCAGTCACAAAAAGACAAATACTGTATGACTCCACTTTTCTGAAGTACTTGGAGTAGTCAGAATCATAGAGATAGAAAGCAGAACGGTAGTTTCTGGAGGTGGGGGCAGAGGGGGAATGGGGAGTTATTGTTTAATGGGTACAGAGTTTCAGTTTTGCAAGATGAAAAGAGTTCTGGGAATGGCTGGTAGTGGTGGTCGTACAACAGTATGTGTGTGCTTAGTGCCACTGAACTGTACACTAAAACTGTACACTTAAGATGCGAAATTTTATGTTATGTGTATTTTACCACAATTAAGAAATTGAGGCCAGGCGTGGTGGCTCACGCCTGTAATCCCAGCACTTTGGGAGGCTGAGACGGGTGGATTTCCTGAGGTCAGGTGTTTGAGACCAGCCTGGCCAACGTAGTGAAACCCTGTCTCTACTAAAAATACAAAAAGTTAGCCGGGCGTGGTGGCGGGCGCCTATAATCCCAGCTACTCAGGAGGCTGAGGCAGGAAAATCGCTTGAACCCAGGAGGCGGAGATTGCAGTGAGCTGAGATCGCACCATTGCACTCCAGCCTAGGCGACGGAGTGAGACGGCATCTCAAAACAACCAACCAACCAACCAAAAAAAACCTCCCCCAAAAACCAAAAAAAAAATCCCCAATTTTGCTTTCTTTATTCCTCTAAATACTTTGGTTAAGAAATATTATTTTTAGAGACTTTCCCTCTAATTTTGACTTTCTGAAATCCACATAGAACCAAAACAAAAAGACATCATAATGTTGCTTCAGAATAAACTCTTGATTCTTCCCTTTGCCCCTGTGACCTCTGTGGCTCCTTCCCTTCCTACTTCTTCTTCCCATACTCCACTCCTTTGCGCCCACTGCCCCCTGACCCCAGTAAGAGGCTTGAATTTACCTGGCATAGGTTATGTTATTACATTTGTATTTCTTTGAGACATTTATTAGCCTGTGCCTATGTTTTATTTGGTAAGTATTTGATCTCATTGATTATTTTAGTGCGTTGCATTTGATCAATTATATCAATGCTCTATTTTTGGTCTTTGAAAAGGACACTATCTTAAAATTAGTAGCATCACCACATGTCCAAAAATACTGAAGAGTCAGGAACGTAAAACCTACTGTGCTTAATCAGATTCTCAGTCCAGCAAACCAGAAAGGTCTTTCTATTTGTTTTTTAAACTCCTTGAGTTGAATTATTTTGAATTCAAAATTGTTGAATTCTGTTTGCTTTCTATCAGAAAGTTATTTTTCTTTAAGTAATACGGTTTTAAAAGATTGGTGCCTGTTCCTCTACACCTCCTTCTTCCTGCAATATCCCTACTTTTATAGAATGTTTTTTTTCTGTCCTAGTTTTTGTTTATATGGAGTGTGTCTCTTCTGTTGTAATGGAAAACTGGGTATCTTTGCTGGTGATTTGGGTTCACCTAGAGTGCCTTTGCTGGTGACTTCTGAGAATAAAATGTAGCTAATATGAGTGAGGAGGTTCTAGAAGTGTGATGGCCTCTAGATTCCATGCAGAGGTTGTTCCAGAGCTACCTCCCTTCTGGAGTGGGACCTCATGCTTTCTAGAACATGGACAGCTCTCTCTTACTGGTGACTCATCCTTGGAAGCCCATGCTCTTTGTTAGAGGAGTTTCTAAGTTGCCTGGTGGATTTGGGATAGAAAATAAAATCTGGTCAAGACCTGACACTGAGTTGCATTCTGCTCGTTGGCAAGGCTCTTGGTGCTCTTTGCCTTGGTCTTCATAATTGGGAGGTCTTCAGTCTTCCCAGGGAGGTGTGTTTGTTTCCCTCTGGGTGTGTTTCAGTCTTTCCTGGCCTCACCCTTTCACTCTCTGACTCTGGCAGGCTCGGGGACCAGTTCTACAAGGAAGCCATTGAGCACTGCCGGAGTTACAACTCACGGCTGTGTGCAGAGCGCAGCGTGCGTCTTCCCTTCCTGGACTCACAGACTGGGGTGGCCCAGAACAACTGCTACATCTGGATGGAGAAGAGGCACCGAGGCCCAGGTGAGCCACGCCACTCCTGGGACATGCGCACGTGCAGGCTCCCAGTCTGGAGGGAGGAGGACCAGAGCTTGTCTGGGAATCCAGGCAGCCTGGGTGGGATCGGAGTGGGGCAAGCTGCACATGGGCCTCTGAGATCCCTTAAAGCAACTCAGTTACTTTATGGCTCCTGGCAGGTGTTCTGAGGAGTGTGACAAGGATGGTGTGGGGCATTGAAGCCATGTGGCAGGGGTGGGGTGGAGTGGGGAGTGAAAGAGCTAAAGGTGTTTCTCCCAAAGAAGGCAAGACTGAGGACATGACAGCAATCTTCATCTTTTACCTTTGCGTGTTAGTTACAAGCCAGAAATCTGCCATTCAGTCTTGGTGTGAGGCTTAGCTTTGTCACCAAACTTCTGTCCTTCAGGTTCCTCATCTGTAAAATGTGAATAATAATAGTACTTACCACATAAGATTTTGTCTGAATTAAATGAGACTATTCATAAAAACTCATAGTATGAGTTTAGCACATAGTAAGTATGTACTTCCGAAATGCTAGGTGCTATTATTATTATTGTTATTATTTTTTTGAGATGGAGTCTCACTGTGTTGCCCAGGCTGGAGTGCTGTGGTGCGATCTCGGCTCACTGCAACCTCCGCCTCCTGGATTCAAGTGATTCTTATGCCTCAGCCTCCTGAGTAGCTGGGATTACAGGCCCATGCCCCCACACCTGGCTAATTTTTGTATTTTTAGTAGAGATGGGGTTTCACCATGTTGGTCAGGCTGGTCTTAAACTTCTGATCTCATGTTCTGCCCACCTGGGCCTCCCAAAGTGCTGGGATTACAGGTGTGAGCCACCGCACCTGGCCTATTATTATTGATGTTACTGTTATTACTACAGCTGCAATGACACTAGTCTTCTAGGCTGCAAAGAACAGAATAAAGACCTTTTTATTAGGGAGACAGCTATAGAAATGTGATTTTTCTGGCTCTGTCTGGATATATTTTTAAAAATGTTTCATTTGGAAAAATTTCACCTTCATATAAAATTGAAGACAATAGTAAAACACATCCCCACGTAGCCCTGCTTCAACAATGGTCAACTCATGGTCAGTCGTGTTTCATCTGTACGCACTCCTTACTTTCCTCCCTGACCTCAGATTATTTTGAAGCAAATACGTAAAAGCACGTGATTTCATCTGTAAATATTTTGTTATGTATCTCTAAATGGTAAAGAACTTAAACAAACAAACAAACTCACAATCACTATCAGAGCTCAAAGAATTAGCAATAAGACTTTAATATCATCAAATATTTGGCCAACATTCATTTTTTCCCCCTGTAGTTTAAATCAGGATCCAAATGGGGGCCCTACATTGCAATTGACTGACGTGTCTTTTAACATCTCTGGGTTTCTCTCTCTCTCTGTCTCTGACTCTCTCTTTCCTCTTTGCATGTTACTTGTTGAAGACACTGGGTTGCTTACACTGTAGGATTTCCCAGAAGGATTTGGTGCTTGCGTTCCCATGGTGTTATTCCTGTGAATTGGTAGTTAGGTCTAGAGATTTATTCAGGTTCCATTGTTTTTTGGTAAGAACAACTCCTAAGTGGTAGTGTGTACTTTCATCAGGAGGCTCATACAGTCTGGTTACCTCCTTTACTGACGTTAGCAGCCCTTCATGATAATTGCCTAGATTCTTTATCCCATTAAGGGTTGCAAAAAGTTAATATTCAATCCAGGACTATCATTATATCTTCATTTGTTAGCTCTACAACTTCTATAAAGAAAAACATTCCCTCATTAAAATTTTAGTTATTGTGAGATACAGTTCACATATGAAAGGCAGGATAAATGACTTTTTTCCCCTCTATTTACCAGTTTTCAAAATAATGAGTTGGTTCCCTAGCATTCTCCAAAGACAATCAATATAATAATAATTATTTTTTTGAGTACCACCAGGAACTCACAGATTTAAACATATTTGATGTATTTTAATCCAGTGTAGTTATTATTCTTATGAGGCTTATATTGCCTCATCTTTGGCCAGTCTGGTCAGTGCTGGTGTTTTTTTTTTTTTTTTTTTTTTTTTTTTGAGATGGAGTGTTGCTTGGTAGCCAGGCTGCAGTGGCATGATCTCGGCTCACAGCAGCCTCTGCTTTCTGGGTTCAAGCAATTCTCCTGCCTCAGCCTCCTGAGTAGCTGGGATTATAGGCGTGCACCACCATGCCCAGCTAATTTTTGTATTTTTAGTAGAGATGTGGTTTCACCATGTTGGCCAGGATGGTCTCGATCTCTTGACCTTGTGATCCACCTGCCTCGGCCTCCCAAAGTGCTGGGATTACAGGCATGAGCCACTGTGCCTGGCCCAGTGCTGGTATTTTGAAACAACCCCAGTAGTTTCCGATAGCCTTCTTGCCACCCGAATAGTAGGATGAAATATTTCAGGCTCATCCTGTACACTTCCTGCTCTCCAGGCCTGAAATCAGCTACCTCTTGAAGAAATCCTGTCTCCTTTCTGTAGGAAATGTTACTTAGAGACCGCAGTCTAGTGCTGTTCATTGCTCCTGGCTTGGTCATTGTTTCTAGGCCTTATCAGTGACGAGTACTAAGAAATATGATTTTTTTTTTCTTTTTAAGAGAAAATACATTGTGAAATTGTGTTGATACATCCCATTCAATTCAGTTTTAAACAGTTTTTAAGTATCTTAATTCTGTATCTACTTTCTCCTACACCAAAAAAATCCTAGAAATGATGTTGATGTAATTACTTATTTGCTTTATTTTACACATACACACACACACACACAGACACACACACACAGTATCAGAATAACAATACGACTATTAACAATAAGATTACTGAAAAAGGTTTAAGATATTTTCTTTTTTTTTGCAATTCTTTTTGTCCTTAGGGTATATTCCATTAAATATGTGCAGCCAAATTACTCTCCTTTAAGGTCACTTGAAATAGTTTCTCTGTGTGGTTGTGCCACTAACTCAATACACAGTTGGATTTATTTGTTTCATTTTGCTTTCACTTATCAGGGATTGCTTTTTGAGTGGGGAAGGGGATTCATATAATTTCTTCTTTATTAAATCAACTTTTCATCTTGAAATAATTAATAATTGTAATTGTGACTATATTTGCAATTTGCAGTTGCAGATATAATACAGAGAGATCTCCTATCTTCTTTACCCAATTTCCTCCAAGATAAATACATCTTACAATATCAAACCCAAAAAACTGACATTGTGTAGCTCTGTGCCATTTTATCACACATGTAGATTTGTGTAATCACCTCTACAATCAAGATACAAAACTATTCTATTACAACCCAACACTCTCATTACTTAAATCCTTTTACCCTCCTCAATTTATAATATAGTTGTCTTAAATATTTCCTTTACATACGTTGAAAACCATACCAGTGTTATAAATTTTGCTTCAACCATCAAACATAATTTAGAAAACATAAGAGAAGCATTTATTGTATTTACTCATATTTTTACTTCTTCATTGTTTTTCTTCCTTACTGACATTCCAAGATTCCTTCTTTTAGCATTTCCTTTCTGATGTAGTACTTTTTTAGGCCATTCTTTTAGAGTAAATCTGATGGTGACAACTTCTTAGTTTTCCTTCATTGGAGAATGTCTTGATTTTGCCAACATTCCTGGAGGATATTTTTGCTGGATATAAAATTCTGAGTTGACAGTCCTTTTATTTTAGCAGTTGAAAAAGGTTTTGCCACTTCTTTCTGATGGTTAGTGATGAGAAATCTGCTGTCATTTAAATTTAAATGTTTTTTTTCCCTTATAAGTAAGGTGTCATTTCTCATTGTTTTCAAATTTTTTCTTTGTTTTTAGTTTCAGAAATGTGATTTTGATGCGTTTTGGCATAGATTTCTTTCGGTTTATTCTGTTTGAGTTTACTCAGCTTCTTGAACCTGTGGGTCTCTGGTTTTTTTTGTGCCAAATTTGGGAATTTTTCAGCCATTATTTCTTTGAATACCTCTTCAGTTCCATCGTCTTTCCCCTCTCCTTCCTGGACTTCAACAACACAGATGTTAGATCTTTTGTTATAGTCCCAGAAGTCCCTGAGGTTGTGTTTATTTATTTTTAAAATCTTCTCTCTGTTGCTTAGCTTGGGTGATTTCTGTAGTTTTCTCTTCAGGTTCACTGCTTCTTTATTCTGTCCTCTGCCTTCTGCTGTTAAGACAATCCATTGAGAGCTTTTTAATTTTTTGTTACAAAGTTTTTTGGTTTTCAAATTTCTATTTGATTCTTCATATTTTCTATTTCTTTGCTGAATGTGTTTTATGTGTTCAAAATTGCTTGTTGAAACACTTTTAATAATGGCTGCTTTAAGATCCTTGCCAGATAATTCTAACATTTTTGTTATTTTGTTGTTGGTATCTGTGTCTTTTCTTTTTTGAGATTTTCCTGGTTCTTCATAAGATAAGTGGCTTTGACTGAATCTTGGACATTTTGGTCGTTATATGTTATGAGACTCTGGATATTATTTAAATCTTCTATATTAGCAGGTCTCCTTTCAAGCTATGCTAGTAGGGGAGGCAAGGCTCCCCTCATTACTATCAGATAGGTGTGGAAATCCAGCTTCTCTACTTGGCTTCTGTTGACAACCTAGTATGACATCCTTTTTAACAAGGGGAATAATACCTTTTTGTTGCTGGGTGGGGGTGGGAGTTCAGGCTCCCCACTAGGCCTCCACTGGTATTATCCTATTTGGGAGGAGGAGGGCCTCTACTCATACTACAAGTCTCCAGCTCTTTCCTTAGCCTTCTCTGACACCAACCCAGCAAAGCTATTGGGATGCCTGCTTATGTTGCTAGGCTGCTCCTTTCCTGGTTCTCTGGCTAGAGAGAGCAGGATTTTCTTGAGGCTTTTATTGGTCTTCATTTGTTGGTGTTTCTGGGTTATCAGCTTTTCCAGAATCCAGTCCAGGATATATGAGGCATAAAGGATACCCAAGATTGGGCCAGACACAATGGCTCATGCCTGTAATTC